AATGGTTTTAAGATTTACCTTCATTATAGTATGGAAACCATTCACGTCATTATCATCAATATTTAAAACTTCATCCTTGTTATTAGCAGCTGTTGCTTTTAGTGATTTAAGTGCATGTTGAACAGCAATATTCATGACATGAGCAAGACAACGCACATGATTATTATCAATATCAAGACCGTGTTGGTGCCGAGACAGAAAATGTTTTCAATGATGATTTCTTTGAAAATTTAGATGGTGTTACAAATGCTCTGGACAATGTTGATGCACGTGCGTATATTTATTCTTTTTTTTATTTAATTTACAAGATTATATATACAATTATAAATATAAACATATTCTCTCATCTAAATAAATCTATAATCTTTATAGGAAGATATGTGGATAGAAGGTGTGTGTATTACAGAAAACCTTTATTAGAATCTGGAACTTTGGGTACAAAAGGCAACACGCAAGTTGTGATTCCTTACTTAACAGAATCCTATTCATCATCACAAGATCCTCCTGAAAAATCTATTCCAAGCTGTACACTAAAAAATTTCCCTAATGCTATTGAACACACCATTCAATGGGCCCGTGATCTTTTCGAGGGATTATTTAAATCTCCGGCAGAAAATGTCAATTTATATTTAAGCCAACAAAATTATATTGATTCTGTCTTAAAACAAGGCGGAAATTCCAAAGAAGTTATAGAGATAATTAAAAATTTTTTAGTTACATCTAAGCCATTAAGTTTTGATAATTGTATTGTATGGGGCAGATTGAAGTTCGAAGAATATTTTAATAATAATATTCAACAATTGCTTTTTAATTTTCCAAAAGATTCTGTAAGAAATAATTATTATTTTATTTTGTTGGAGTTAAATTGTTTTAAATAATTTATTATCAATTGAATCTTTTATTTATTTTTTAGCTTACATCATCGGGCACAAACTTTTGGTCAGGTCCAAAACGAGCACCCGATCCATTAATATTTGATCCTGATAATGTAATATTATTTTTTTTTTTAAAAATTATATTTGAAAAAATCAAAGAATATTATTTATTTATAGATTTTTGTTTGTTAATTATTTAGGAAATGCACATGGACTTTATCATAGCAGCAGCAAATTTACACGCATTTAATTATGGTTTAAAAGGTAAAATATATAGGATTTCTATAACTAAACATAGCTAATGAATATTTTAACAGTGATTTTTTTTCCTTCCTTTAATAGGGGAAATTGATCGTGAATATATAAAAAGTGTTTTAAATAATGTAATTGTACCTGAATTTACACCAAGAGCTGGTGTAAAGATTCAAGTTCAAGAAAATGAGACAATTCAACAAGCGAGTATTGATGAACAAGAATTAGAAGAACTGATTTCAAGTTTACCACAGCCATCGTCACTAGCGGGATATCGATTGAATCCAGTGGAATTCGAGAAAGATGACGACTCAAATTTTCATATTGACTTTATTACAGCAACTTCGAATTTGCGAGCAACAAATTATAGTATTCAACCTGCTGATCGTCATAAAACAAAATTCATAGCTGGTAAAATCATTCCGGCAATTGCAACAACAACTTCTTTGATAACAGGTTTGGTTTGTTTAGAACTGTACAAGATAATTGCAGGAAAAAATAAACTTGAAGATTATAAAAATGGTTTTGTTAATTTGGCATTGCCATTCATCGGATTTTCCGAACCTATTGCTATGCCGAAATTCAAGGTACATAAAAAAAATATTTATTTATATAAAATATTTAATTATTAAAAAAAAATTATTTAATTTTTTTTAACAAAGTATCATGATGTTGAATGGAGCATATGGGATCGGTTTGAAGTTGATGGAGATCTTACTCTTCAAGAATTTTTTGGATCATTTCAAAAATCAACATGAGCTTGATGTTACCATGTTATCTTGCGGTGTTAGCATGTTATATTCTTTCTTTTTAATGGGAAAAAAAAGAGAAGAACGTCTAAGAATGAGGTAAATTAACATATATATATTTGCAGTTTAAATTAATTTTTTATAAAAATTAAAAAATTTTTATGCTCAAAAATAAATATTATAGAATATCAAGATTGATTGAAACAATTTCCAAGAAACCAGTTCCACCACATGTCAGAGCACTTGTTCTAGAAATGTGTGTCAATGATCGTAATGAAGAAGATGTTGAGGTAATATATATATATTATTTTATTTTTGTTAATATACATATATTGATATTAATATTGATTTTATCATTGTATAGGTTCCATATGTCAGATTAGTAATCAGACCATAATTGAAATAATAATAATAATAATAGAATTTTTTTTTCTCGATTAAAGATAGATTATTATATATATATATAAACTTTTTTATTTATAGCTATTATTGTTATTATTATTATCATTAAAGAAAAAATTTAAAATATATTTATTTATTTGATTTTAATCATACCCCATTTAAACAAAACAACAATTCTTTTAGGGGTCGGTCCCAATAATTTATTAATACTATTGACATTAATATAGTGCAAGTCACTTAGTCCTACAACTTTTTATTGGTCATGTAGATTTTCAAATTCTCCAAAAATAGAAATGCAACACCCAAAATAAATCGTGTATTTGAAGCCAAGACCCTTCCTCTAGAAAATTACGATTTCATCTTGTTGATATGGAGGATTTGAGCTTCAAAGTTGCACAAGTTTACCAAATTTACTATGTTTAGCCCTAAAATAGACGTGTTACACAAAAAAGTTAATATTAAAAATAGACGAATTAAAACAAATAAAAATTTCTGATGTCATTGATGTCACAATTTTCTGAAAGCATCATATTTTAAGGATTTCAATTTGCTATCTTCTTCTAGACCAGCTAGAAAATCTCTTTGTACTGATTTATAACTCATTTCAGCTGGTAAGAATACAATTGATTGGGTTATTCTATTGATATTTCTTCCTGGACTTGGTAATCCTGGACTTCTGCATAATTTTCTAGAAAATTCTTTACTACTTCAGCAGCATTTTTATCAATCACCATTTTAGTTTTCCATTGAGGCATCTTCTTTATATTGCCATGAACTCTTGCTAGAAGACCATTGTTTATCAGATGATTTCCGATGTTTTCAAAATAAGTTCTGCCAATTCCTAACATATTGAGGTAAGTTTCTTGACAAAGAGGTGTATTGTGATCTCAGTGATAGAAAGTTCTTTTATTAGATCTAGTTTTCTTTTTAAGGCGCCTACTGGTGCCTATTGTTCCACCATCCATTGCTTTAAGTTGGGCCATCAAAAATATGTCTTGTTCTAATTTAGTGAGAGCTTGAAAGGATTCCCTTAATTCTGCAAATTGCTCTTTGGGAATTCTTGAAGAGCAACCACATTTACAACCTTTTTCTAAAAAATAAATTGCTTTTCAATATTCATTAGAACCATTGCATTTATTACCCTTGCAAATATTTTTCATATACACTTATCCCTATATATAATTTTATAATTTTTTGTTCACTTTGTCATTTTAATATTACACATAAATATTAAGAAAAAAAAAGACAATCCTTAATGATTTTGCCCATAAATGTTTTTCCATTTGCATTATTATTCTAATAGCTCTTTTTCAATTAAAAAGAAAGAATTAGTAAACATTCACTCACTTAACTCTTTATAAGTATAAGTAACAATAACTTAATCCTTTGCTCTCTTCATCACTGAATATTAAAAAAAAGTGTGCATCTAACAATGATGAATTATTTAACAAACTGATCACATGAAATCATGGTGTGTATTTAGAGAAAATGGTTTTATAGGAGTATGAATCCCTATGCAAAGTTCGCACACTTAAAATATTCTTGTTATGCTCTCAAAACATACTTAAATTTACGTAGAAATTATGTTTTAAGTATACAAATTTTCTTATTACTGCAAAAAATAAGGATGTTTTGATGATATAATAAGTATATTCTGTGAAAAATTAATAATCATCATTTTACGAAATGTACTTAAAATATACCCTAAAACATACTTAAAATGTACTTCACTAAAAAAAATAAGGATAAAATAAGTAGAAAATAAGTATCTAAACTTTGCATAGGGAATGAGAAAAGATCATTCAGTGCAAAGTATGAAGGGTGTACATTTATGGAGGATTCATTGTATGTAAACTAGCTTAGTTTTACAAGCTTTTGAATGAATTTAATTGGGTAGAATTAAGAGTGAACATACAATTTTTTATTTACAAATATTATTTTGAGACTTAATCATACTAAAATGGACAGGTCAACAAATATAATAAATATTTCTATCAAAACTATTTGGATGTTAATATATACACTAATTGTTTGTCTGATTTACAGTTATTCCTTTGTTCTCTCAAACAAAACAATTGTTGATAACAAAAAAAAAATTATTTAGAACCCTAAATTCATTGCTAATAAAGTCATATCCTTTCAACCAAATTTATTTTTAAAAAAGTGATTTCATTCACTATCTATCTTTATAGAAAACCTATATGTATTTTAAAATATTATTCCTTTACTGTTCTTGTTCTAGAAGTCCTTCCTACAGTACATATTGAATATGGCATACAATATCCTGAGTCTCTTCGATTGCGGTATAACCTAGCTTTTTCAAAAGTAACTCTATTTCTAATTTTTTCAGCAACACTAATTGTTTTCTGTAAATGGGATATGTTGTGATAAGCAAAAAGGTAATATCACATTATCAAAAATATGTGTATTTAAACCAACCTCAACCCTCAACAACAAAGTGATGGTCTTTTCAATCATTGGCAATTGGTTGATAATTTGTGGTAATTTTGTTTCTTGAAGTAGTCCAAACCGCCAAAGGTTCTTGGCTTTCCAGTCAATTCCATAAACATTGTATTTGTATCCTAGCATATTCAAAAAAAGTTAGTTTTCTGCCTTAGAAACAGCTTCTCTGCAATCTTTTTATATCTTACCATAACTATGCATTCCCAGAGTAAAAATTTTCCTAAAATTCTCTGTATCAACTCCATTGTTTTCAAGTCCTTCTTTTAGTAAAACATCTCTCATTGCAACAGCAAGGTCAACCTTATCCCCCCATTTTTTTGATTTGGCTGCCTCAGGTAGCCCTCCAGACCTCAGTCCAATTACATATTCAAAACCACCCTTATGAACACGACAGTCACATTTTTGACCTATGATGCTTCTGCTAGTGGGGTCCTGATCCAAATTTTTTATTAATGTTGATGCTAAGCTTTGTGTCTCACCTCTAAAAATAATAAAAAATTTAGTTGATGAATGACTCAAAAATATAACACATATCAAAGGTTAGAAATTAAGAAACATACTCATCATATGATAAACCATGCTCATAAGTCAAGATACCTTTGGTCAACATATTTGTGAATGAACTAGAGAAATATCCTTCACTCACTGAATTTGGAAGT